CAACAATGTCTGCATCTCTCACTGAGCCCCACTCAGAACCAACGTCAAAATCACTGCCCCTCTCGTTGGCTCTGTGGAACCAATTGTTCCAGTACGCAGTCATTTATGTTGCCTGGGATTCTAATTTCTGCAGCATGACTTGAGCACATGTTTACCCAGTCAATGAGAGGGTAGTTAAAGTCTCCCAGTATCATACCATTATCAGCTTTGGTCATGCCCCTTTAAAACTGAATGACAATTAATAAAAAGTCTATTTTTAAAAAAGAGACTTCTCACTTTCTCCTAGTCACAAATGGCACAATCCACTGGTATCCTTTCCTGTGCAAGTCCCATTGAATGGTTGTTTATTCCCCAAATTGCTGTTACGCTATACAAGATAAACAAATAATGGAGATTATTTTATAGCTTGGATGAAAAACACATTCTGTTAAAAATATTCACAGTGGTATATGAATGTGACAAATTTATGTTCACATAGGTTTGGGGATTTTGATATTAATAGGTGCTATAAAATAAATTACTGACTAGTACCTTGACAAATATTTAAACAAAAATCAATAGGATTCAGTATGCTACAGATGAAATTAATAAGAGAGCGATAAGTGTTTCAGCTTTTTTATTTGACTACATTTCTTCAAAAGTCAGTTTTATGCAGTGTTACAGTAACAAAACAGTTAATGGTATCATGAATCTGTCTGAAGAGTGTCCCCCAAGCCACTAGAACAGGAGATAAAACTATTTAAAATTCACATGGTAGAGATCTTGCTTAATGCTTCTTTTATTATTTGTTTTTGTATTATTTGATTTGTTTCACAACTTCTGTACATATTTCACCCATATATGCATGGTTATGAGGTCATAATATCCAAGCCTTTAATATCGTGTAGCTGTTCATTTTCATAATTGTAGGGAAGATAGGACATTGGGAAATGTAGTGTTCGGCTTTTAGGGAGATTGTGCAAGTATGCATCTCATCTGTTGATCCACATTTTCAATAGTATTCTGAACTTCTTGTTTTAATTGCCAAAATGTTTTATGGAACCTTCTACTTTTGAACCTTAAATAGTCATTTCCAAACATGGCTATTGATGGGATTCATCTGTGTGGGAGTTTTAGTTATTTTGAATTTTCCATTTTAACATGAGATGTTTGTGCAAAGTCTGCACAGAGATGGTATGGTATTGGTCTGACATGCTGTATAGATGTCTGGGGGAAGAGAATTGGTAGTAGACTCTTGGAATTATGCACCTCATAACTATCCCCCCAACCCCCAATAGATATCTGTGCCCATAGGTTTCTAAATAGTTCTCATGTTTCCTTAGCATATTTACCAGGAATCATAGATCTTCTTTACGTTACTGAATTGTACTGCAGGTGTAGAGTTATGGCTAAAGAAAACCAGCACTGTTTAATCGCATCAGTATGGTCAAAGCCTAGTTTAAACCATACTGTGGCACTGCTGATTTGCAGTTGAGATCCCTAGTACAGAACTACAATTTTTCCAGACTGGGCTAGCCTGATAGTGGTTATTCAACTAAGCATATTGTTTTAATTAGATCACTTCCTAAAAGAAAAAATGTTGCAAAAGCATGTTGAAATAAAGGTCAGAAATTGTTACAGTTTTTCTAGGAAAAGGTTTGTTTTTTTAATCAAGACATTTTCAAATAAAATCTTAAAATGGTGTGTGTTTTTTAAAGATTTTCTTAGAAGTTTGAAATCTAGCTCCCTTAACAATTAACAGTCATTTTTTCTCCCGATTATCAGGAAAGGTGTCAAGCTAGTTCTTAGAAAACATAGTTTGGACTTTGAAAAGGCAAACCTTGGGAAAAACTTTCCTGCCAATTGAGATCATATGCAGAGGTGCATTACTGCGTGCCCCACTCTGAGTTGCTTCTGGGGAGAAGGCCTTTTCTGCCTTGGTTCCTTCTTTAAAGAATTCTCTCCCCATAGCTGTTTGCCTGGTGAAACCTTTTTTATTCATCCAGCCCTTTTACTGATTTTTTTATTTATGCTGCTGTTGATTAATTTTTGTGGGTTTTTTTATTTTGGTGTATTTGAATTTTAGCCACTCTGGTGCCTTTTAATTGTGGTTTTAGTTACATGTATTGTTAATGTTCCTTGGAACATTGCTTGAAAGTTGTCTCCTCCGCTTTGGCTTAAAATATTACAGATTTAAACAAATGAAGAGAGAAAGTAAATCAGTTATGAATGGTTAAGCTAGAATGGGTGAGATCTGTTATTTTTGATACATCTCAGCTATGCCTGCTTCAGGTCTTGTTTATAGAAATAGCTTGCCTAGGGAAGGGTAGGATTTGATGTTATTCTACTGTCTTTCCTCAAGTCTTCCTTAAGACTTGAAAAGGTGTCCATTCCAGTCTGACTCTGTCATTAAAATATAGCAGATGGTAATGACATTGAAGGGTGGGGGGTCATTATGTATAAGCACCCTCACCTTTCCTTTGATTTGCTGGACCATTTGTTGTTGTTGCTGTCAAATCACAGCAGACTTATAAGGGTTGGTAATTAGACTGATTGCAGTTAGATATATTGGTCTTTGTTTTAGCTTAGTATGCATCCACATGCTAACTAACATATGTGTATAACCGTGTATATGAAAAGTATCCCTCCAAAGTGGTGGTCTTCAGCAGAGGTCATTTCGGGGGGGGGATCGCAGGGGATCGCAGTCCCCCCGGGTGAGGTACGGGGCGGGGCACATGACGAAGCCCCGCCCCCTGCTTCTGGCCGCCCCGCTTCCAGCTCTCATTCAGCCAGGAGGAGGCAGGAGAAGAGGGAGGGTAAGTTGCTTCCTCCCTGCCTCTCGCCACCCCTGCCTGCCTGGGGCCAGGGAGGGCCTTCGCGGGGCTTCCTTGCACTCCCGCCGGCCTTGCAGGTCCACCGCCGGGCCCCTCATGGCCGGGCCCGTTGGGGGCGGGGTGTGTGGCCTTATGACACACTTCTGGTGATGTCAGGGGGTGTGGCCTTATGACACACTTCCGGTGATGTCAGGGTGTGTGGCATATGCTAATGAGTTATGCTAATGAGTTCCCCTAGCTCTTTTTCTACGAAACAACCCCTGGTCTTCAGTCTATGAGTAGAAACCCTCAGGTGGTTCATGAAGCACGTCTGCTGAATGCAAGCCATTATACAACTGCTATTTTTGTTGCTGCTTTTTGGAAGACCTGCTTCTAGTGTGTTTATATAAATACCTTGCCTCCTCCTGACTGTCTTTACATGTATGCTAGGAGGAACAGCAAGGTGGTGAGGTGACTCACCAATGGAGAAAATTTCTTTTAGCATAAGCAGGCTTTTAGATGCTGGTTGCTCTGTTTCTGTCTCATGATTGTGACGTCATGTGACTTCCTGTCACATGCTGCCACTTGGGGGTTAAAGTGGGGTCCCAGGTCTGGAAAAGCTGAAGTCCCCTAGTCCAAAGAGACCTGCCGAGAAAAGCGATAAATCGGCTGTGCACACTGTATAGCCTGTATTGGTCCCACAGTGGCTTCCATCAACCATGTACATAGGATGAAAGTCTGCCCATGATTTATAAGTAGCTGTGATGTATGAGCACATTAATTTGAACAAACAAGTAATGTGTAAACAAGGTCTTGTATTTGGAGAAGGAATTCACAGTTCAGAGAAGCATGTTGTAGCAGAATTTAAAAACTACTTGTTTAGGGTAAGCATTTGCTGTGCAGCTGGTGTGCAAACATTAATGGCTACTGTCTGCAGATTAATCAGTTGGCACAGTTTTTTTAATTTCACTCCCTCTTACTAAAAGCCAAATATAATAGAAGATTATATTCTTTTGATATTAGGAAGTAATCTTTATTTTCCTGGGCTTTAACCCATAATGTTTTGCAGAGAAAAAACTGTAGGATCAGGAAAAAGTGGGGCAGCCCAGGAATGGTTAAAATAAACATATGGCTTGTGAAGAAATATGCTTCGGGGCAGTTTTTGCAGTTGTGTGAGTTGTTAATGCTATCTGTAAATTCTAAGAAATAATGACTGCATTCAATTGTTAATAAGGAGGCCAAACAGAGACAATCTCAGAAATCTTTCTAGTCTTTAAATAAAACAACCCAAAACAAAAGGATATGCTTTATAAAGTACAGGTCTGTGAGCTATATAACCATTCTGAAAATATATTTTTTCATATATATGAAATATATATGTATATATAACCATTCTGAAAATTAGGGATTTTGTATATATTTCTGTCTGCTAAGAAGAAATCAAACTAAAATGTTGGGACTCCCATACCACTCCACTCTCTGTTAGTTACAGGTGCTGCTCTGAAACAGTTTTATCCTGTAGCTATCCACTGATAATCTCTTACAATTAAAAACTAGGTTTAAGTGTTAGCAGTTGATGGCAAAGTAAACCTGTAATATGTAAATCCATATAGTGTAACTGGACAAAGAATCAATTGGGGGGGGGGGGAATAAAGGGTCCTGGCAGCTGCGTCACAGGATTTGTTCACTTCAGGCAGGGGTGCCAGAAGATTTGAGACAGATGTTTTGAGACATGCGGCATGCCTGAAACATTTCCAGGGGTCGGGCTACAAATAGTGACTTAATAAGTGTAGAAACAGGAAAAGTATGCAGGAGGGGAGGACGCAAGAGTTTATTCACCCTTAGGTGAACAGCCAGTCGCTTTACATTACATCTGCTTGTCAGGGTTGGCTATTTAAGCTGTCATGCCCTTGGTATTGCTCTTTGACTGTGAATAAAATGCAGCATTGTGATTACTAATCCCACTCCAGTGACTTGACTTTAAATGTGGTTTTGGAGTGGATCCCGGAGTCCTCCTGTTTGCTAAGCTTCCTACTCCTGTTTCAGAGACACCACTGGATATTGAGAAGAGAGCACTGAAGACTGTCCTCCTCCCTTTGGAACTTCTGCTTTTTAAAAAATCTTGGGGGGGGAAAGGCATTTGAAGGAAATCAATGGCTCCCAAAGTGATCTGTTTGTTTTTCTTTTTCTCTTTGCCTCTGCTTCCAGTGGGAAATCACACCGGACGTATCAAGGTGGTCTTTACACCCAGCATCTGTAAGGTGACTTGTAAAAAAGGCACCTGTCAAAACAGCTGTGAGAAAGGAAACACTACCACACTGATTAGTGAAAACGGGCATGCTGCTGACACCTTGACAGCACCCAACTTCCGAGTAGGTAAGTCTTGTGAATCTGTAGTTCTTGTTAATCCTTTTTGGGCTTAATCTGTTCATTACATATTCTGAAATGCTTAGCTCTTTCCTGAAGGGTCTGTTAGTAAGCATCACATCTTGTAGGTTCTTGGGCATCACCCTGACTGCTCTTGATAGTTCTCCTGAAGTGTAAGAGAGAATAACAGTACTTTAAAAATTCTATTTGAAGTTGTAGGTGGACTATGTTAGATACTTAGTAGTTTTTCATGGAAACCCACAAATTGGATGGAAAAATACGGCAAGATGAAGGAAAAATAATGTTCTTTCAGTTTGTGGTTTACATTTTTATAAGCGAATGTGATACCTAGTTAGATGAAATTTTCCTGAAAGGCATAGTGCGGAAATTGCTTGACTTTGCATTCCTGGGAATGAAATGGGTGCCAGCTTAAAACTCTTGCTTTGAGACTGCTGTGAGTGCAGCAGATTTATTATGTGTCAAGTGTTCAAACAGGATACTGAACACTTAGAAATGAAATTTAAAAAGGAAGGTAAAGTACAATTATTGTCCCTAGTGATCGCTTTTATGTGCTTTCCAAATAGAAATTTGAAAGGTGGTGTTCTTTGGTATACTGCTTGCAGTGGTGTATACCTTTTTTGTTAAATATGACAAAAATGGGGTTTCAGAGTTTGTTTAAAGATACTGTATGCCATTTCCCTCCTTGTAAATTAACTGACCCAGTAGAAATGGATTTACTTAAAATGCAGTAGATTTCTGTGCAAATTTATTGTATTTAGATTTGCAGTGTAGCAGGTAGAATAGTTCAGAATATCACCATGTAGCTATGTTGATCTGCAAAATAGTCACCAGAAATGTGTTCGTGCTGCTGATTTTCCATCCTAGCAACTCTTGAAACAATTCATTTCCTGCAAGTGAGTCCTCAGAATAGTACAACCCTTCCAAGTACAATCAGAATGGGGGGGCGGAGGGCAGACAGAAAACATTCTAATGGTTCTTTGAGACATTGTTTCTGGCAGAGTTTGTACCAAACCAGGAACCACAAAAAGAGTTGCCTGAGAGAGTAAAAGGACTTCCTAGTACAGCGTTTTAGAGATAATAGTGGTATTTTTGTCACATTGGTAGGTGTGTCACCTGTGTTGAATAGTGGTAATAGGCAATGGAAATAGGCTTCCTGAATATGGGGATTGCAGGTGTTTGGTGTTCTGCTTTTCAGTGTTGATCATCCACAAAAGACAATGTCTGAAAGTTACCTTGGACTGCATGACTTCTAGGCTATGGTGCAGATCCACATAGCAACACCTAAACAAAGTTTCTGCATATTAAAAAACCAAAACCAAAACTTGCTGTGGGGAAATTATCCTACATTTCAATCAAGTATACAGCAATACTTGAGAAACTGAAGAATAAGGAGAAATTTATGTATGGATATCATTAGAGAATGATGTGAAATGTATACTTAACACAGCTGTGTAAACTGTAATTTGTTGCCCCTCAAGGGCAGTGGACTTGATTTTGAAATACAGAAAGAAGCCCTAAACTACCTGTTACTTGCAGCTGTGCTGCTCAGCATTTTGTACAGTACTAATTGAACACACTGAGCAAAATACAGCCTATTAATATATTACGCATTTCCCCCCAGGCCTCTCATGTAGGTATTTCAGAAATAGAATTTCTAAATACTGATACAATAACCCTCTTTTAAAAAGCAGTTGACAATAAATTTGGATATATGATGGAGACACGTGGTGTGTGTACAAGTTATCAATCAAAGTACAGTTAAAATGGGATGGAGACTAAATGCATTTTTGGGCATCATAAGGATTCACCATTAACAAAGGGGATAACAAAAAGCAAAGAATGGATCTGTGAGTGCTAGGTCCATACCAGGTCTTGATTGCCTGCATTTCAGACTCCATATATATACTTGGGCAGACCAGTGGTGTTGTGCATTAGGTAACAGGTGGCCCTTGAAGTTACTATAATTTCTTTTGGCTAGGGGTCAGTGTATTGTACATAATGAGTGCCAAGCTGTACAGGTAATGGACTGTGGTTCAGAACACTAGATAGCCCCTGACCTCTGTCAGTAGCCTTAGGAGTGAACAGCAGCAGTTCATCAAGGGGTGCTGCCTTAGACCACCATCCTTGCTGCCACACCCATCCTCCCATCACTTCTCCCTACTCTCTGTCTCCCCAGCAGCTAATATTCTTTCCTTCTGTCTTCCTCAGGTATCTTTAAACACAATCAACAAGCCATAGGTACCCAAAGGGGCTTCCTGCTCATGGCATTCCTTTGAAGTCATTTGAGAAGCCTCTGTCAATGTGTGTGATTTTCCATGGTGTGGAGGCAAAAGTGTTAACTGTTTCATCTCCTCAGTGGGGAAGGGGGAAGGTGAGGAAGAAGTGACAGTGGCAGCAAGGGATAAGAGGAAGGGATGGGCAGCACAACCTTCATCCTCAACCATCCTCAATTATAGAGCAGGTCCTGGGACCAAGTAGATTGGAGCAGATGCTGTGTTGGTTAGATATTTTAATTGGGACATAATTGAACTTTATTTTAGTAATGTTACTAATTTTAGTAATTCAATCATAATCTTTACACAATTTTTCTATAAATTTTGGAGGATTAAGTTGAGACAACCAAAACAGCAGGCTTTCTCAGATGGATGAAGTGATTGTTTAAGTCAGCAGCCCATGGGTTGGGACATTCAGGTTGCGGAGCCTCACCTGCTGGATTGCAAGCCCCTCTTGAGGCACCCTATTTTACTGTGTCTTGAAAGCACCTGGTGCTGGGTAGCTTGCATAGAAAGGAGCAGTGACAAATGGTCTTGACATTGGAATGGTTGAAGATCACTGATCTAAGTAAATCTGATATATATATATAAAAGCCCTGACATATTGGAACTTTCCAGCTCTCCCATTGGCTGTGCTGTGTGCTCCATTAGCCATTGGGCCATCAACCTCCACTCAAGAGTCCTTGCATGCCATTGGCTGGGTGCTGGGTCCGCTCCTCTCTCCTGCCCACTGCTGGTTTGGCCAGTCTTTCCTGTCAGAATAAACTGCCAAAACAGCTGTCTCTCCTGACGAAGATGCTTCTCCTGCTTGGGTCCTCTGTGGCTGACTGGCTACTGAAGTGAGCCACTGGCCATCAAACCATTCTCTTCTCCTCCTGCTGTGGGGCTAACTTTCCCCTCAGTGGCTGCTGCTAGGCAATCAGGCTTAGTTCTGTCAGTAAAAAGGCAAAGGCAGGAGGCCTTTTCCAGGCCTCCTTTGGCCTTTGTGGGGAACTCATTGGGGCCAGTCCTGACTAGGGTTGCCAGCTCCAGGTTGGGAAACTCCTGGATATTTTGTGGTGGAGTCTATGGAAGCCTGAGTGTGGGGAAGGGGGAGGCCTCAGCTGAATAGAATGCTATAGAGCCCACCTTCCAAAGCAGTTATTTCCTCCTGGGGAACCATTGCTGCCAATCTCCAGGTTAAGCCTGGAGATCACTCAGAATTAGAACTGCTCTCCAGATGGCAGAGATCAGCTCCCCTGGAGAAAATGGCTGCTTTGCAGGTTGGACTCTGTGTCATTATACCCTGCTGAGGTTGCTTCCCTTCTGCTTGGGTCCCCACTGTGGAGAAAGACTGTACTTTTCCTAGGTAGAGGTTGCGGGGGGGATGGAGATGAAAACCTGAAGTCAGAGGGGCAAATAATGGTACATTGACGGGTTGCTGGGAAGGAGATAGGGTTGCCGCCTCCAGGTTGGAAAATTCCTGGAGATTTGAGGGGTGGAGCCTGGAGAGGGTGGGGTTTGAGGAGGGGTGGGATCTCAGACAGGTATAATGCCATAGACTCCACCCTCCAAACCAGCCATTTCCTCCTGGGGAACCATTGTTGCCAATCTCCAGGTGAGGGCTGGAGATCACGCAGAATTACAACTGTTCTTCAGATAGCAGAGATCAGTTTCCCTGGAGAAAATGGTGGACTTTATGTGATTATACCCTGCTGAGGTCACCACAGCAAATCGATGCTGAGTGCCTAAGGCCGGGGTACCTGCCCAGAGCCTCTTTCTAGAGCTCATTGTATTTATTTCCACAATGGGCCTTATTCCTAGTGGGTATATAAGCTGCAAGTACAGAGAAGGAACGATTTTATTCTAATAAAAGGAGGGCAGAATGTTAACAATTGTATGAAGTGACCATAGATTTTCCACAGATCTGCTATAGTTGTAGACCAAAATTGTACACTTCCTAAATTAATACTTTGGTGATGTAATATAATCAACCTATATTCTTTACATGATTGCTAGACTATAATTCAGTAGTACTGTCTAGAATTCACACACATGCTGTGAATACCCTGCATCATTTCACCCTCACCCTACTATTGCATTTATTCCATAGATACCTAGAATGCTTTTAAATTGCCCCCTTCTTATTAGTAGATTTTTCTGGCAGCTTTTCTCCTACCATGGTATCCAATGGAATTAAGTAGTCCCTGTCAAAAGTCCTTATCCAAACCCAGGCTAAGAACTTTTGGTAAGGGAGGGCTGCTGCAAAACAAAGTTACAAAACAACCAGAGAGAGATGTTTCTCACTCTAGTCTTGGTAGGTGCCACCAGTCCTTTCTGTCTAACCCAACACTTTATTAGTGAAAGGACAAGTCTCCCAGTCTTTCATGAAATTAACAAGAAAAGTCAGGCCTGCAGGGTAGGACTGCAGACTGAGTTTTCAAACAAAGGCCAAAGCTTCTGGAAGAAGGCTTTGATGTCAATGAAGGCAAAAATCCACAATGAGATAAAAAATATAATTATTTTATTTAAGGTGCAAAAAACATATAGAAATAGACAAGACTGTGAAGGAACATAAAACAATAAACTCTATACTTATCCAGCTTAGCTAGTACAGTAAAACAAGATTCCAAGTTACACTATGTTGGTTCATCTCAGGCTGTTAGTTTCAGCAATCAAAGCAGCCCTCTCTTTCAGAGACACCCAGGGCCTTAGCTCACACAAGCAAGCAGTTCA